GTCACAGACTTGCCTGGGACCCAGAAACCACTTCCTGTGCCCCAGCCAGCCCCCCTCCCGCCTGGTGCCACAGTAAAGGTCGGCACCTGTAGGCCCAGGTACCCCACCCTGCCTGCCCCATCCTGGGCCCTGGGCCTCACCTGCAGCTGCGATGGTGGCATGGGGTTCAAGGAGGAGGAGGAGGCATGGGCCCCACCTCGAAGATCTCGGCCCTGGAGGGCTCCCCCTGGGCCCCGGGCCCCCAGCAGGTCTGAGGCTTTGGGTGCAGCCCTCCAGCTGGGCGAGGCTCCTGGGGATGGGCCAAGGGCCAAGGAAGGGGCTGAGGGCTTGACTGGCCTGGGGTTGGGCATCGAGTCCTTGTCTGAGAGCAGGCTGCGTAGACATAAGGGAAAGGAGTCACACGTGTGCTGGGGCAGTATGAAATACTTGACCACCTGAACCACGTGGACACCCCTCTGGTCAGAGCAGGCATTGGCTGGGACATGTCCCAAAGGGCCCCACAGCGGCACCCCAGCTCTGGACACACACACACACACACACTCACACAGACACACACGCACACACGTGTCAGGAACCCAGGTACATGTGCATACTCACACATGCCCCACGTGCACAGGTCCAGCACCTGGCTTGCCTGCCCATGCCAGCACAGCCCTGGTGTGTACAAGGGCAATGGTTGTTTCCCCTTCCACTTGAGACCTGTCTTCAAGCCTCAGGCCTCCAGCCCTCCCTGAACCCTGCACAGGCTGCCTTTGCTTATCTTGCTGGAGCTAGTCTCAGACTTTCTCCTGGGAGTCCTATTTTGCCCTGTGACTAAGCATGGACTCAAAAAATTCATCTGGGTGCTGTGAGTGGGGCTAGTGAGGAGGCCATTGCAACAGTCCTGGCAAGTGATGATGCTGGCACAGAATGGGCTGGTGGCAGTGGAGAAGGTGAGAAGTGGGTAGATTCTGAGACTAATCTGAAGCTCTATTGGGAGAAGTGCAGGCAGCTTGGATATAATGGGTAAGAGAGGGAGGGGTCAAAGTGACACGGGTTTTAGCTTGAGTAGCTGGAAGGGCCGAGCTGACATTACCTGAGATAGGGGACATGGCGGGGAGTGGGGTTAGGCGTGAAAGTGCAGGTGTGGATGGACATGAAGAATCTGGCATTAGATGTGTGAGTGGAGAAGCTGAGGGGGCAGCTGAATATGGGAGTCTGGATCTCAGGGCAAGGAGGCAAGTCCAGAATTGTGATCATGCATGGATCTAGCATGGCAGGTGCCAGAGAGGAGGAGAGATGGGCTCTTTTGAGCTGGGGCCTGTGGAAACTCCTCAGCCCAGCCCCTATCAGAGTTCACCTCAATTTCTGGCCCTCAAGCCTGGCTCATGCTACTTGCCCTGCCTGGAATGCCCACTCCTTCTCCTCTTCCCCTGTCTAAGCCATGCAGGGCCTGCTCTTCTATTGTCTTCACCTTGAACGCCCTCCACAATGGCTCTGGGTCCCTCTGCTGAACCCCAGAACATTCCACTCCCTGAGGGAAGCCTTGGCTTTTCGGGATCCTGTAATCCTGGCCTTAGAGGAAGCCAGAGCTGGAAGGGACTGCCCAGCCAACCCCATTTTATGGAAGGGGATGCTCAGATGCTGAGTTTCGTAGTCTCATAGCGATTTGAGAACTCAACTTTCTTTAGGAAGTGTGTGTCCATGTGCACATTTTACAAACTCTCTGGTGTGTGTGTGTGTGTGTGTGTGTGTGTGTGTGTGTCTGTCTGTCTTGTCTCCCTGTCTCCCCGTTCCACCTCACAACACTGAGTTGGGCACACAGCTGCTGAGAGCAGCCTGGGGGAGTATAGAAGGGTTCTGGGGGAGCAGTTGCCCCTTCCTTTCTTTGCTGTCACCCCCTGGGGGTTGTCAGAGCTGTGGTGCTGAGGGAGATGAGTGTGAGAATACAGGTATTAAGTTCTTAGTCTCCTGGGGGCTTAGAACATTACTGTGTGAGAATCCAGACTGTGGGTCTGTGGAGGCTCCGAACAAGGGTCTGTGAGAGTACTGGTGAGATGAGGTGAGTGAATGAATGAGTGAATGAATGAAGCCAGAGATGGGGTAATGCTCCTTCAAGCCAAGGAATAACAAAGATCGCCATCAATGACCAGAAGCTGGGGGAGAGGCCTGGAACAGCTTCTCCCTCACGGCCCCCAGAAGGAACCAACCCTGCCAACACCTTGATCTTGGACTCCGGCCTCCAGTACTGTGAGATAATCAATTTCTGTTGCTGAAGCCACTCGGTTGTGGTACTTGGTTACAGCAGCCAGAACAAACTAATGCCGATTTTGGTGCGAACGGATGTTTTCCACCATTCTGGCCTGGCCTACGCAGATAGCCTGAGGTCACTTCTGAAGCTGCCTGGACATGTGGCCAGAGCTAAGAATTCTCCCCAAACACGTGGGATGGCCTGACTCAGCGAAGCATAGATACATTCTCAGACAAGGACATGGAGATGCTGTCTGGGAGTAGGGGACCTGGAGGGTCGGGCTGGGCAGCCGGCTTCCTGCACTGTCTGTTGGGACGTCCCTTTCTGACTAGGTTTCTCAGAAGCTGAATGGGGGATGTTTCTGGGACACAGATCATGTTTTCATATCGGGGTCTGCATCTGGGGCCTGTTGTCACAGCCCTTGACTTGCCCAGATTTTTCCGCCATTGACGTCATGGCGGCCGGATGCGCTGGGCTTCATCGACACCACGGAGGAAGAGAAGAGGGCAGATACCCCACCCCACAGGTTTCGTTCCGAGAACTGGCTGCCCTGTCCTGCAGCAGGCTTGGCCCAGGTGGGGTGACGTGGGTGCTGGTGAATGTGGTAGGTGATGTCCATCTGGCCACTGTGACAACTCCCTGGCTCTGTAGGCCTGGCCCTTCTTGAGTTGTAGAGAGGATCCAGGTTTGAAGCTCTGAGAGTGCCAGGCATGGGACCCCTGGGGTCTTCAAATAGTATAACACCAGTACCTCAGAATCATAAAACAGCATTCCTTCGATTTAAAGGATCCTAGAATCTCAAAACCACAGACTGTGGGGTCTACAGTCCTAACTTCTCAGTATGTATATAGGCCAGTGTCTCTGGTGTCCAAGCTCCCTGGAACCACCTGAAGGTCAGGCAGCTCACTGCTTCATAGGGCGTCGTGCCTACCAGGCCTGGAACCACGGCCAGCCTCCCCAGGGCCTGTCTCCCTGTCTACTCTGGAACAACATTCCCAAATTCATGGTCACTCTGCCAGAGATGGCAACACAGGGAGGAGGAGGTTGAGGCTGGTGTGCCTTTGGCCTGGGCCTCACGGGGGGAGCTGGAAAAGCCTCCGCCTTTGCCAATACAGAACCCACCACCAAACTCTCTGGACGGGCCCCACGATCAAGGTTCTCAGAGACCAGCACCAGCTCTAGGGACACAAAACCTGACTGACTGACATGCTTCCATCATCACCATACTCTGGTCAACTAGGCCTCTTGACCTATGGGGCCTGGGGCCTCACCTAGCCCAGCTCTTATGAGGCTGGGCCCCATGCTGTGATCGTGGATCATCTAGTCTGTGAGAAGTTAGGGTCCAACATGTGAGAAGGCAGAAGGGGGAATGGTGGCCCAGGTCCCCCTTCCCCTTATGGGTGCTGAAGGGTAAACAGGCCTGCAGTCGGGGACAGAGCCAGAGCCAGGATCCTACCTAGAGTCCTGAGATCTAGGCTTGAGTTTCAACTCTGCTGCTGCATTTCAGTGAGGCCCTGGGCTCTCTAGTCCTCAATTTGCCCTTCTACAGTGAATGGGGAGCGGTGTGGGGTAGATGAGGGCCAGGGCCCTTCTATGCTGTGTCTGGGCAAGTCATTAGGTGTCTTCAGGGCTTCAAGTTGACAAGTGCCCCTCTATCTAGGGGACTGGTAGGGATACATAGAGATAAAGAGACACATACGAAGAGTGAGAGAGAACAAGAGATAGTGAGAGACATGGAGAGAAACAGAGACACATACAGAGAGCAAGAGTGCACGAGTGCGAGAGGATTTCCTCAAATAAGAACATTTTCTGGTTTCTGGCTGGTTCAACTGATGCTGTCTGAAATAATAATGAATAAAGAAGGGCAAGGTGCCAGGGACACCCATAGTTGGGTGTTGAATTGTATTGCAAAGCAAGAATCAGAAAAACAGTGTGGCCCTGGTGTAAGAACAGATACTAGGGAAGAGAACAGAATAGAAAGCTCGGACATGGACCCACATATGGAGAGAACTGAGTTTGTGCTGAATGTGGCACATCAAACTGGAGAATCGTAGAGGGTGGATTGTTTAACAAATGTGTCTGAGATAATTAGGGAGGAGATAAAGTTATTGGCTGAATAATCAGTCCATTATCCCAACAACCCCTCCCTGCCCAGTTTGAAATGGCACATCATTATATACCCTAAAAGACTCAGACCCATTCAAGATATACATTTTAATACCTAACGCTGATCTTGGGTTTATTGTGTGTCAGGCCTTGTGCTAAGTATTTACTGTGGTTAAAAATTTCAATCTAAACAAAGACTACTGAGGAAGGTACTATTATAATCATCACAGTACATATGAGGAAATGTAGGTAAGGAGAGGTTAAGTGCCTGGCTAAAAATCTCACACAGGGCTTGGGGTGACGCTGGGTTTGTCCCAGACAGTCTGGCTCCAGTACCCACATTCTTAACCTCTACAGTAAATGGAAAAAATGAAGCCATAAAAGAGACTAGAAGCCAAAACAGGTGAACATTTATCTCATTTTCAAGTGGGAAAGGACTTTCTAAGCATAAAACCAGAGACAGAAGCCACAGGAAAAAAAGACTAACTTATTTGACTATATAAAACCATCATAAGCATCACAAAAAACACCATAAACAAATAAAATAAAACAGATGATGAATTGGGGAAAATCTTTGCTATATATATGTATGGCTGATGAAAGGTTAATAACCATTCCAAATAAAGAGTTGTGGCAAATCAATAAGAGAAAAATAAGATGAACGCACTATCGGGAATAAAGACATAACCAGACAACCAAAAAAAGAAAAGAAAAAAGGGACAAATGGCTAATAAACAGTAAAAGTAATCAAAAGATGCAAATTTCAACAATGCGATAATGTGTTTTTCTTACCCGTCATGGTGGGAAATAATTTAAAAAAATAATACTCACCCAAGGTTAGCTAAGTAGAGGGAACATAAAATAGGACAACATTTTCGAAGGACAATTTGCAGAGAGGGTCGTAAAGTTTAAAAATGCCCGACCCCTTTGCCCCAGCAACTCTCTTTTCAGGAATCCAAGGAAGCAGTTGGGGATGTTTATAGAAAAAAACTAGAAACAACTGGAATGTCCAACAATTGGCACTTGGTCAAATTAATCAAAGTTCATGCTGATGTGAGGACAGTCTTGTCCATCATGAAAGATCATGTGTTTAAACCATTTTTAGTAAGTTTCAAAAACATTACTGTTAATTGAATAAAGCAGAAACAAAGCCAATATATAGCATGATTCTAATTTGGTTACAGAAATACTAATAGTTAATACTTCGTGAGCACTTACTGTGTGCCAAACGCTTTGCTAAGCCTGCAGAATCGAGCTCACCCCAGCCGTGAACAACCTGCTCGCTTCCTGAACATGGGCTCTGGTCACACACATGCAATCCTGGGGTAGGTCCGCACAGCTAAACCACGGTTGACAACGGCGTGAAGTGCCCCCAGTCCCCCCACCCCCCACAGAGGGTCTCCTCTAAAGTGACACAAGTAAAGTTCAGTTAAGTGCTCAGCTTGCCCCGGCACCTCGCAATCCTCCTGCTACTAGGGTGAACAGAACTGATGCTCACTCTTGTAAAATGTAAAGGTCCTCAGTGACATTACTATTATTAAGCACCAGCTGTGTACAAAGCTCTAGGCTGGATGCTGGGTGGGAAGGCAGGCAGGGGAAGGCAAGAAAAGAGAGCGGGAGAGACAGAGGAAAGGAGATCGATGGAGTGTGGTCAAGATGGAGGAGACACAGATGCGGAGATGGTCAGAGGCCAGGAGAGATGTGGGGAAAGAGTGTCTAAGTGTAGCGACAGACAGATGGTGGGAGAAAGAGAGGCAGAGAAACATGTAAAAGAGCGAGACAGGGTGAGCAGAGAGACAGAAGAAGGACGAGAGGCCTCAAGAGCTAAGAGACAAAGAGATGAGAGAGATGCAGTTGAAATTTCCAGTCGCACCTGGACAGCATTTCAAGTTGTTCAAAGCTCTGAAATCCATAAAGACTGGCAGCTGATATATTTAAAAAATCCTACCCATCTATGTATCAGTTGATGAATTTATTTAGCTTTGCTCCTGATTAAGTACTTCACCTTTAAGTCTTCTGGCATTTATTCTATTATTATTTTCTTAAAGATCTTACCTGGCTGGAATCATGGTAGCTGGGTGCATCCCACTGTATCAGAGGGCCCTGACCCCGCAGTGCCTATCTCTCTGCCATCTCCTCCAATGGGGCCCACATCTGGTAGTGGAGAGCGGGGACACTCACCTTGGTAAAGTGGACCGACAGAAAAGGATCAGCCTGGCTTGTGGGAAACTGTCACGTATCAAAAACAACTTTGCTTTTATACCGAGAAGAAAAACCACGGTGTGGAAGCCACAGACCTCTCTCTTCTAATAATCCAAATTTTTTTTTCGATGAGTGTGTGCGCTGATAATCACGGGGAGGGGGGTTATCATAGTTCTCTCTCTCTCTCTCTCTCTCTCTCTCTCTCTCTCTCTCTGTTTCTCTTTTTCTTGATTATGAGACTTAAACGGAAATTTTCAAATTTTGGGTTTTTTCTTTGCCCTTTACGAGTCATCTGAAAATATGATTTCTTCCCTTCACCACAGAGGTGAGAGGTATCAATGAGATAACAGGGCTCTCATGAGAAACCACAGTTTTTAAAACAAAAGTGTGTAAAGTTTGAAAAAAAAAAAAAAAGCAACCGGGGAAAAGAACTAAAATAAATCACAGGGCCATCCTGAGGCAGGCAGAGACACCATTCTGTGAGTGAGAGGATATTTGAGGGTCTCTGGGGAAAGAGAGAAACTGAAGCCCCATGTGTGGATGGGAAATGCCAGGGAAAGGGACAGGAATAGGGCTGGGTTTCCAGAGGCCTCGCCCTGCTCCAGGCCTCAGTTTCCCCATAGATGGAATTGGTATGGTCCCCATTGCTCTACACAGAGAGGGGAGTTCTGGACCCCCCTGCAACAACCCTCCCACAGAGGGTGAGAGCCATGTAAGTTACTTCACGGAGGAGAAAGCGGGAGCCCACCGTCATCCCCTACAATTCACGGAATCAAAGAGTCGGAGAATCACTGGCTCCCAGAATCCACTGACAGTTACTGAATGAGGAAAGAGAGGAAAGTCTTGCCTCATCACGCTTTAGGGCTTGAGTGCCCTGACCCAGCCACTGCCCCACTGGGAAGGTCCCCAGTATTAATGCGTCCATCCTCACGAAGAAGCCCAGAGGCCCACTGGGATCCTGACCCTCTAGTTTCAGGAACATCATGGCCTGATGCTTCTGAGGCGCTCAGCCTTTGGGATCTTTTAATTCGAAAAGCCCTAGTTTCCAAGGATTTAGGATTCTAAATATCCACCATCATCTCAGTAGCTGATGTTTATCTTGAATTTTCCGTGTGTCAGATACAGCGCTGAACACATCTCACAAGCGATCTCGTTCAAACCTCACCATGGCCCCTTGAGCTCCATCTCATCATTATTGTATTGCTGTTATACAGATGAAGGAAATGGAGGCATAAGTAGTCAAGCAACTTGCCCAAGATCACAGAGCTGACGAGTGTAGGTCCTGCTTTCTTTGGTGCCAGGTTTTGAAATCCCCAAGTTTTCTTGAAGTTGATGGTCTCAGGTTTTAAATTCTAGGATGTGATGACAGGGAGATTCTGGGATTTGGAGAGTCCTTGGAGACTTGAAGCTTGTGAGGTTTTTAAGTTGTCCAGCAATTAGCAGCTACATTTCTTGACCTCAGCAGGCACAATCTCCAACCACTGGTCAGCATGGTAGACGAGCCCCCAGGGGCTTCTCCTGACAGGCCATGATGGAGACTTCCAGCTCCCAGCACCCTGCAAAGCCCAGGGTTCTAGTCGTCCATGTCCACTCCAGCCCTTTACAAGACTGGCTTCAGACCTGGGGAAGAGAAATTGGAAAAAGCTTTTTATTTACATGGTACAAATCTGGTAGCCAAGACCCACCCCTTCACCCTTTTGTCCCCTTTCCTCCCTCCACCGTCTAAGCCCTCATAAAAAGGAGGGCCTGCTTCCTTAACTTAGACTTACCCTTCTGGAAAAGCCCAGAGTGGGCCTGATGGCCTGGCTTTGTGAAGACAAGA